CAGGGTGACCAAAGGGACTCCCAGATAGTAACCCAGCATAGAACTAGGAAAATGAACAGCAGACCCTAATGTTATCTAAAGGAGTATTGACAACTGATTGCTGCTAGAAGAAGAACAGCTGACCCTCCTAAAACAAACAACTCTAGACAGGCTGACTAGATTCACCAGAAGGGCAAGTAGTGGGGATTGGCTGGGGTGCTGACAACAGAGCAGACAGTAGCAGGGATATCAGAGTATAAGGTCTCTAGTGGGAGGGAGGGAGGCTATGGGAGGGTGCCATCTGGGAAGTGGGTGTATAGTCGAATAAGATGGTTTGGGATGTTCTGTGTGATATACACACACATTAAAAAAAAAAGCAACAAATTTTTAAAAATATATTTGAGGAAGCATGGAAATTTATGACATGCTAATTAGTAGAGGTTATGAACATTACCAATCAAATCTACCTGATGAATTCATAGACATACACAGGCGCCAAGGATCCAAGTGCAACCAATTATGACTAGTAATAATCAGATACATACAGATTAGAGATGCATGCGCCAACATCTCAGTGTTAGTAGCAAAAACAATGAGTCTTTCTGCAAGGAACAATATATTCTAAAATGAAATGGAGATCTATTTTTTTTAACCTTTAAAAAAGATCTCCATTTCATTATTAAAATAGAGTTTGATATAGAAAGCTTCATTTTTAATGCAATTGACGTTAAGATGTTTGCACATGTGTTTCTAATCTCTATATATCAGATTAATCCTAGTCACAGTCAGTTACTTTCTGAGGTCCTTGGCATCTGATCACGGATATAAAGTCATCAGGTAGATTTCAATGATATTATTTTTCACATCTACTAATTATTAAGGAGCAAATTCTTATGCTTTGAAGAATTATTATTTTTTAATCATTATATATTTTTTTAATTTTTAATAACTACATGATTAGAAGCTTTTCACTACAGCTTTAACATATTCAGTAACATACTCCAGAACAAGAGTAGTACATCTTTTTCACAAGTGGGTACAAGTTTCTAGGTTCACAGTTGAATTAATATAGTTATATATTATTGAGCTCAGTATAAGCCCTGTAAGACATAAAATTGAATGCGTTTTTTAACCTTTAAAAAAGATCTCCTAGAGGTGATAAACAATACCATTGGTTTTGCTACTAACACTGAGATGTTGACGCTTGCATCTCTAATCTGTATGTATCTGATTATTACTAGTCATAATCGGTTGCATTTGATCCTTGGCACCTGTGTATGTCTACAAGGTCATCAGCCAGATTTCAATGGTATTGTTTATCACCTCTAGGAGATCTTTTTTAAAGGTTAAAAAACGCATTCAATTTTATGTCTTACAGGGTTTATACTGAGTTCAATATTGTGTAACTGTATTAACTCAACTGTGAGCCTAGAAACTTGCACCCACTTGTGAAAGAGATGTACTCTTGCTCTGGAGTATGTTACTGAATATGTTAAATTTGTAGTGAAATGCTTCTTCTAATCATGTTGTTATTAGAAATTTTTTTAAAAAATGCTCTGAAAGTTTTCTTGGTTTGAGAAGAATGCCTGGTTTCAAGGGTGTTGTATGGTTGTGTGTTCAGATGCCAAGTAGCTCAGAAAGTAAGTGACTGTCACTAGTAATAATCAGATATATAGAGGTTAGAAACGCATGTGCAAACATCTTAATGTCAATTGCATTGAAAATGAATTTTTCTATATGAAACTGTGTATTTTAATAATGAAATGGAGATATCTTTTTTTTTTTTTTTTTTTTTGGACTTTTTGAGACAGGGTCTTCCTGTAGCCCCAGCTGTCCTGGAACTCACTATGTAGACCAGGCTGGCCTTCAACTCACAGAGAACCGCCTACCTCTGCCTCTGGGATTAAAGGCGTGTGACACCATACCCGGCAGAAATGGAGATCTTTTTTAAAGGTTAAAACCTCATTTAATTTTATGTCTTATAGGGTTTGTACTAAGTACAATATTGTGTAACTGTAATAATTTGACTGTAAACCTAAAAATTCACAGCCAATTTTGAAAAAGATGCACCTTAATTCAGAAAATTGTTTTTGAATATGTCAATGCTGTTGTAATGAAATGCTTTTTCTAAGTATGTGGTTATTAAATAAATAATTAACTGAGAAAACAAAACAAAACAAAGCAAAACAAAACAAAACAAAACAAAAAAAACCCTTCTAGTCCAAAGTCTCAAGCCTGTACTCTCAGCACTCAAAAGGATGAGATAAGACCAATTTAAGTTCAAGGCCAGTCTGGGCTACATAATGAGATCCAGTCAGCCTAGGGTACATAGTGAGACTTTGTCTCAAAAAAACAACAGCAGCAAATGAAGAATAAGAGGCTGGAGAGATGGCTCAGTGGGTAAGAGTACTAGCTGTTCTTCAGAGGACCCACAACCGTCCCTAACACTAGTTCCAGGAGTTCTGAAGCCCTCTCTAGTTTCTGCAGATACTGCATGCATGTGATACACTTACACACATGCAGGAAATACACTCTATACATAAATAAAAATAATTAAAATATTTTTAAAAAAGAAAATTCCATTTTTTCACAATTCATCTTTCATAGGTTCTTTGAACTTATTGATTTGTCCATTTCTTCTAGGTTATCAGTTTGCTGACACATTATTCATAGCAGACTCTTACCCATTATATTTCTATTTTTCTAGCATAATCTATACTGACTCCTCTTTTATTTATCTGATTTCATTTACTTTAATTTTTCTTTTGTAGTCTAGCTAAGACTTCTCAACTTCATCTTCTCAAAATCTGGTTCAGATTTTCTATTATTCCTATAATTCTATTTCATTTGTTTCTACTCTGATTTTTATTATTTTCTCCTAACTAAAATTGGGCTTAGTTTCTTTCTTCTTTTTCTAATTCTTAGAGGTGCAATATTAAGTTGTATTTGAAGTCGTTCTTCTTGGCTATGTTGTACAACTCCAGAATTGCTGCCTAGTTACACACGTACACTCTAGCACACAAAAAATTTCAGTTTCTCTGTTAATTTCTTCATTTTTGGTGACTGCTTTCTCGATGTCACCAAAGTCCACTGAACTTCCTTTACACAATTATTTTGAATTCTCTGTCTGGAAGTTCATGTATCTCCTTTCCTTGGGATCAGCCACTAGGAGATTATTGTGTTCTGTAGGTGATTCTTATGTTCATGCCTGAACATCCAAGACACAGGGACTTACTTCTTCTTGTAGGCACAGGCTCCAGGCCACCATGGCTCCAGGTCAGTCCATGAAGCCCTGGGTTCTAGACCAGTATTTAAGACCAAACTTCCAAGCCTGCTCTAGTACCAGCTGGGATCACTTAATCCACGGCTCCAAATCTGCCCAGCACATTTTTCCCAGAATATCTCTATACTAGGCTGATCTCATATCAAGACTCATCCCAGTAGTCTTCACTGCTAAACTATCCCCCAGTGACCTGGGGGTCTAAGACTGCCCATGTAGACTCAGTTTTACACTGTCCTTTAGGACTCAGGCTACTCTTGTAGATGTAAGATCTAGGCTAATGCCTGCACACTACTCAGCCTCCAGAGCAGATCCCAGGACCCCAAATTGCAAACCAGCCTCACGGTTCTAGGCAATGGGCCAGTACCCACAAACCTAGGTTCCAAATCATCCCTGGCCAGAGCAGGTCCCACATCTGCCCCAGCACTTAGCCAGTCCTAGGCTCCAGAAGACCCAGTCATAGTAAACTTTAAACCCTTAATACCTAGAGTATAATGCCCTAAGAGACCTAGAAAAGAATTTGACAAATTAATAGGTTACTTTTTTGTTTTGTTTTTTGAGACAGAGTCTCACTATGTAGCACTAGTTGGCCTGGAACTTGCTACGTGGCCTCGAACTCACAAAGATCTGGCTGTCTCTGCCCCTCATGTGATGGCATTAAAGGCATGTGCCACCACAACCAGCGTTGATGGCACTGTTTAACTGCAAGTAAAGAACATTTGATATACTTGATGATTTATAATGCAACCAGCATCTGAGTGTTGTTGTAAAGGCAGGACTATTAGGATGTGTTAAGACTTTATGGTTTGTAACACAATCATTATCTCATAAATTTTCATAAAAATCCTATTAGGCAGGTGGTACTGCCAACCCTATTTTGTATATGAAGAAAGGAAAACATCAAGTTAAGTGACTTGCCCAAGGCAGGACTCAAATCTAGAACTTCCTCTATCTTTTTAGGACTGAGATTCTTCTTCCGAATAATCACATCTCTGCTGAAATATTCAGAGTATGTGAGGTAATTTACGCTGCATTTAAACTAAATCATCCTCTCTGTAATAACAGTTTGAAATTTTAAAAGGTATTTAAATGAACTGCTAAAGTAAAATTTAAATCTGAATTACTTAAATGTATACTGCTGAAAATTTTCATACATTAATAAATACTTCCATTTATAATCGTTGTACTTAATAGCTCTGAAAGCTAAGAATTCAGTATCTACAGTCATTATAAGTCTTACATGTTTATTAATAGCGTAAGTATCTGAGAACAGAATCAGAAGCTTACCTGTTCTTGGGAAGATTCTAGCTGTATGACACTGGACATGCCTAGACATAGCAAAATTCTGTGTTGTATATGCATACTCTTTCTGTTCTTACTAGACATAGTCACAAGCAAACAGTGATACTACCAGCAATCCTGAAGCCTGACCCAGGATGCATATTTTCCTTGATGTGTCCTGCCAAAGACCAAACTCAGTGGAAGCCAATTTCTCATATGATACAATTTTTGTTTCAGAGATTAGTTCCTAATCATTAACCACTGATCCCAGTCACCTAACAGTGGAATTTCTACACAGCTCTACTGTAATTCTCCTAGTGGGAATCACTCTGATTTCTTGCATCTAATTCACGAAATACTACTTTCACAACATACAATTATATAAAATAGTTAAGGAACTGCTTTAAATTCAATTATGTGGGACTTATCAGTAATTAAAAGAACAAAAAAGAATACTTACAATACATCCTTAAAGTCGCCAAAAACATACATATGCCTAAAACTGTCAATAGCTATGACAGGGCAATCCGCTGGAGTTTTCTGAATGTGAAGAAGAGGATGTCTGAATTTGTCACAATCTGCATGTAAGAAGTTTATTGTACCTTTGAAAGAAATATAATTTTAAGAACTAGGTTAGAATTTTAGTTGTTATAATAAACATTATAATTATTATAATTATCTTATTTATAATAAACTCACAAATACCAAAACAAAAAAACAACAGCATCATCGTTTTAGAAAGTAATGAGATTAGAAAAACTAAAACCTAAACTGTGGAACTTTGAAAGGAGGATTGTTCAGTTCTTCGGGTAGAGTGTAATTTCCTTAGAAGTTACAAGAAAATTCAATTTGAATGCTACTGTGAATTTTTAATTTTCTTTAAACTGGCAATCATGGGCTATTCAGGTTACCCAGGTTCTGGACTTCAAGTTCCTGAGACTGACCATGCACTGCTTCCTTGGAACCATCTTCATGTCCTTACAGCCTAAACGGCTGATTTCTAATCTAATCTAAACTGAGAATATTTACTAAATGAGTAAAATAGGCAGCTCTGAACCATGCCCACAGTTTATGTTTGACATTTTCCCCTTACTACAGAGGGGAGGGAAGCTACTGACAGCTCAAATTCTGTTTAGATACTTTGGAGAAATCCAGTCACTCAGCTTTCCTGTAGAAATAAACATGAACCAGAGTGTGAAAACTCTCTCAGGACTGTCTCTGGGAACATCCACTGGGAAATGTATCAGACAAGCATTAGGTAACGGGAAAAGGTTCTCTAAACTAACCATGTTCACCCATTACCCTATCTTACATGCTCCTTGGGAATTTTTTTCTCTCTAGAAAACTGCCACAGTGCAGAAACCAAAAGCAATCAAACAAAATCCAGTTTCCTATTACCGCAGTGCTGCTTCCTCCCTCTTACATCTACAGGCGAATGTTAAAGTGACTTGTTGACTTTTCAGGCCAAATATGTTTACATGCATATATGTAACAGAAAGGGCAAAGGAGAAAGAAGAAAAGAGAGAATGTTGGAAATAAACACCTTAATCTGTCTACCTTTTTCACTTATTAACTGCCGGGCTACTTCATTCTGGAATATTTCTAAACTTTCTGTATCTTCTTTCATGTGGAAGAGAATGAGAAAAGGCAGTCCTTCTTCTGTTAATTCCTGCAGAAAGAATGAAAATCAGTGGGCCTCTCTATTTAGTTTTAGCTGTTTTCCAAGTAGGAACAATTGTGGACCCAATTCATGGTATGTGATAGTGGCAAGATGCCAGAGAAAAGGCTCTAATGATGTAAATTAAAACGAGCCTTAACAAGAAAATGAATTCAATCCCATCTATGCCCGAGGTATGGACACTCACAACACTCACACGTCCTCCTCTGTGATGGGAACTGACTCACCTAGAACGTCCTTGGCTGATATGTTACCTAGTACTGGACATGTGGCCCCTTGAGGCCATTTAGGGTTGACCATAGAAGGAGCTATGGCAGGTCTTGATTTAAGAGTGAGATAAACATGGTTAGTATTGCCAGTCTTCACAAGGAAAAAGACAAGCTTACCAGCAATAATCAATCTGATTCACAAATTTGTGGTTACTGTAAAGATTTATTACAAAACTATTCAACTATGTGAAACCTACCCAAAGCTGCAAAGTATTTCATTAAGGCTAAAAGACAAAAACTCCATAATAGTTTTCAGTCAACAGTTTATCAATATTAACAAATAGCTGTTCCTATATGTCTATCTGTACACATCTTTCTCTATATGCATACACACAAAGCACTTTGAGAGTTACAAAGTGTTGGGAGGCAGTGGGGGGATATACAGATAGGGGAGAGTATTGAAATGTCTAACTAAATTGTATGAAAATCATAAAAATTCAAGTAAAAAATAAAACTCATAAAAGAAAATTACAAATTATTGTTAATCTTATTATATTTATTATTTGAAAATATAAAACCCATGCTAGGTAGACAGTATATTTTAATCATGTAGTCTCTTTAACAAATGCTACATTCTGACTCATAAGAAACAGTCCTCAAAGGGCCTCATAACACAATTATCTCCATTAACCATCCTTTTGACAATCTCTGATTTAGGAACTCCCTCAGGACAAAGTACAAATACCTTTGTCTTTAATAATTTTTAAGACCCCAAGACCTAACTTATTAGATAAGCCTTTTCTTCTAGTTCTTATCCTATACTTAAACTTGTTTCCCTTGAATATAAGACAATTAAGCTTCCTGTCATATTATTGTTTCTTTGAATTGGACCTAATTTCCATTCATGAAATCCACCATTTTAAGTTTTGCAATTTGGTGTTGCTACGTTCACAAGGCTGTGCAAACATCATCACTAACTTTAAAACGTTCTCATCACCCAAAGAAGAAACCTATCTATTAGCAGCCACTCTCTATCTTCGCCCTGATCCCCCAACCTCTGACATTACATTCATCCTTTGATAAGTTGATTTAAAAGTTCTTCTTCCTCATTTTTTTCTTTTGGGCTTACATTCTTTTCTTAGTCCTCATTTACTGATACTATTCCCTTTGTCTCAGTTTCAATCACTTAGCTCTGTATACAAGCCCACCTCAATTCAGAATTAACACCAAGTTTCCAACTGCCTGCTTCTCCACATCAAAGTCTAGCCAGAAACATAAACATGCAAAATTAGTGAAGGTCCCCCTTGCCACTTCCCGTTTCCTTCAGCACTTCTCCCTTAGCACTTATTTCAGGGCCCAAATGCCTACTAACAGCATTCTGCCTGATTCTAAAGACAGACATGAATTTTCTCCTTTGAAATCCAAAAACATTTCTTTAATGTTTCTCAGGTGGCATGGGGCACATGTCATGTTATCTGTACATGTGAAACCCTGACTGACAAACCCTGAGGACAGATAACCTCATTTCATGCCTGGGTCTTCTCCATAGATGTCCTATTCGATAAGGTACAGTGAACACATAACAAAAAACGGAGAAATGCGTGTTACTGAATAAATACTAATTCTGAAAGAAGACTCATTGGTCACTTCCCTTTGAGAAATTTAAGAACCAGGAATTCAAAATAAAAGCACATGTAGCATTACTTTATCAGACTCAGCACACTATGGATGAACATCAACTATTAGGAGAACAGTAATAAACAATTAGTTTGAAAGTATATACCAATGAATTTTCTAAAGTCAAACACATGGTGGTTGGTAGTTTATGTTTCTTGGGTTTCCAAATTTTATCTGTGTTCTCGCCAACAGATTCCTCACCAAGAAATGTATAAAGGATTTAGCAAGTATCTAAAATAATCAGATTTAATTAATAGAAACAAATCCTTTCCTATAGTTTAAATGAGGTAAGGGTGGTGATTAAAACATATAATACATCTTAAGGCTTATTAAATACAGGGTTGCAGAGATAGCTTGGCGGGTAAAAACGCTTGCTATGGAAGCCTGATGACATAAGTTCAACCCCCAAAATCCGCAGAAAAAGCTAAATGCAGTAGTATACATCTGTGATCCTGACACTCCTCTGAGGAGATAGAAGGCAGAGACAGGAGAATCCACTGGAGCTCACAGCCAGTGGGCCTGAAGCACACAGCATAGTCACAGAAACAAGGGACCCTGACCCACACGACAAGGTGGAAAGAACCAACTCTGGAAAAGCTGCCCTCTGGACCCTCACCACACAAAACACACACACACACACACACACACAAGGAAAAAAAAAGCAGAACTATTAAACGTGCCAACTTCACAGGGAGGAAGAGATCCTAATTAATTAAAGCTTTCCAGCTCTGACTCTTTAAATTCTACTTTTGAAACTATTCTAAGAACTGCCAAAACAGGTGAATTGTCTAAGTTTTCTTGAGCCTCTGAGCTAAGACAATAAAGAAAAATAAGTCTGTTAATCATGAACAAGGCCTAGAGAACTGAGAAAACAATTAAGACATCATTCATTTGATAAATAATTAGCAGAAAGAGTCCAATCTAACTCCTTCTTCCAAAGTCAAGGGTAAGATCAAAATGTAAAAGATTTCAGAATAACGACTCAACTGTTTCTATTTCTTTTAGGATAGATAAGAACAAAAAAAAAAAAAAAAAAACCTTTGTGGTAAAGGATTATCCCTTGTAACTAAAATTTGTCCCTCTAAAGGACATCTACTTAAGCAAGGATCCTTACTATGGGTTAAAAAATCACCTGAGAGTTATTTTCAAACCCATTTTCAAGAGTGTGATAAACCAGAGTCCAGTGTGGTAACACATACATTTAATCCTAGCACTTGAAGCCAGAGGCAGGAGGATCTCTGAGTTTGAAGCCAGCCTAATCTACATAGCCAATTCCAGGGCAGCTAGGGCTACATTAAAAAAAGAAGTGTGATAAACTATTGTTTCTTATTAGAAATGCAATAGAGGTGGAGTGGGGTAAGTGACTGAGAAAGTATAGGTGGAAAGTCACTAGTCTGCAATTATGGCAACAGCTAAGATGCAGTTGTGCTCACTGTGTGATTCTTACAATTGGTAACTAACATGGCATGATGCGGGGGAAGCTTGTCTTTTGACAGTCAAGTGAAAAATAACCCGTATTCCAGTCCATACCTCTCCATTTTCAAATGTTATTTCTCGGACAAGAGGGACACATTTATCTTGAATCCAGTTGTAAGTCACGTCAAAATTTATCATAGATCCCAAGTACACCATATCTGGAGCAGAACGCTGTTATAAAAACAAACAAACAAAAAATGAGACTAATCTGATCTATGCTGGCAAAAGCTTATTTTAAAATCCATCTATCAGAAACCACAAGAGATACAAAAGAAAAATAAACCATGAAACTTCTGAAAAAGAAGGCACAGACAACATAAAAAAGATAATCCCATGGTAATGAGCAGTCTGGCAATCTAAACTGTGATGAATAATATTTTGTTTTCTCTTAGGTACAGGACAATTAACTATCACTATCTTCACCAAAGACAGGCAGGCAGGCTTTGTGGAAAGAATCATCCAGGTGAATTAACTAAGCTATTTCTTAGTAACTGAAAATGTTGTAAGAAAATTTAGACAGTAAAAAATCCTTTGAAAAAGATGATATAGCAGAGTGTGGAACCTTGGGAGCAGAAGAAGGATCTCTGTGAGACTGAGGCAAGACCGATCTACATAGCAAATTCTAGGCCAGCTGGGGCTACAGGGAGACCCTGTCTGGAAAAAAAACATAACAAAACAACCCCAAAACAAAAAACAAGATGCTAGTGGATGTAAAGCAAAAGCACAGGCATCTGTAATACAGCGTTTTCACATCCACTCCAAGTCAGCACATATGAAGCATATAAATGATGATAAACACTGATATTTAACTGGGTGAGCTAACTGTCAGGGTACCATTATAGGTGCTTTTTGTGATGGTTCATTTCATTCTCTCAGTAGCCCCATATGGTGAATCCTATGACAAAATCTAAAGCACTCAGAAGCTAAGAAACTTTCCCAGAGTAATACACACAGAAGAAGGCAGGTTTGACATTCAAACCCACACAGTCTGACTTCAGAGGTTCTTTTTAAAGGACCACATTACACTAAACACACTACTGGGCTCTGATAACCTAGAGATGATGATACTATGTAAGCTGCTATTAAAGAGATGCACCTAAGAAAAACCAGACAAAGACCCATTTGTTATAGTTTGAATATGCTTTGTGTGTCCTGTAACAGTTCATAAACTGGAAACATGGCCCCATGTGGTGATTTAAAATGTGCTAGAACTTGAACAGAGTGGTAGAGGTAGGGAGTAATGAAGTCAGTCCAGTACACCCCAGGGGGTTAATACAGGCTCTGTAGGACCTCATTTAGTTTTTGCAGGAATAACTTGTTATAAGAAGAGCAAAATTGGCCTTTCCTGGTATTTGGTTTCTTATCTCACCACACAATCATTCTGCACATGGCTTTCTCTTTCTACAACTCCATCATGCTGTAACATGTGGAACCTCCCAATCTTGGCCTTTGAGCTTCACAACTATGAGCTTAAAGAAGCTCCTTTTCTTTTTAAAGTACCCCACCCTCAGGTACTTTGTTTTAGCAAAGAGAAAATAGACTAAAATACTATCTGAATTTGGAATAGGAAATGAGCTACAAAAAATGATAAATTATTTTACCAGAAAGAAAATTAATGATTCTAATATCAAAATATTATGAATATATTAAAATGAAAACTATAACCTGAAAAATAGTCACAGATTTCTGTCTCTGTGATGTGAAAAAATTTTAATGATAGACCTTTAGGTCAATCTGAGACAACATAAGAATTTATTATATGGGCATAAGCAACTATTTCCATGTTCAGACACATTAAAATAAAAACAAAAAACCCTTCTTAGGCAAGAGTGAAAACAACCTTAATATCTAGAAGTGTGTTCCTCATTGTCTAGAAAGCTCCAGACTAATTTATGCCCCAGATGGTCTGGGAATTCAGCAAGTGCAACACAAGGAAGTGTCAAATATTTTTAACATTTGGCTCCTAAACTGAATGTAAAAGAGAGGGGAAGAGAAGGCCTGGCATCCCTGCCCGATACCATACTTCTATGGTCTCGCCCTCACTCTGAAACATATGGATTAGAAGAAGATGATGACCTTTTTTTAAAGTTACATTATTTGGTCATGGCAGCATAAATCTTTAATCCCTACTAATCAGGAGGTTGGGGCAGAAGAATCACAAATTCAAAGCAAGCATGGGCACCTTAGTGAGACCTTGTCTCAAAATAAAAATAGGAAAGGGCTGGGGTGTAGCAGTGTTTTAGGGTACTTGCCTAGCATACACAGAGCTCTAGCTTCAATCCCAGTACTTAAAATGTAAGAAAAAGTTCTGTGATTCTACAAACATTTTTAAGACAAAACTATAGCTTGTATTACATATGTATTTAAGTACAGTATCTTAAACACACTACAAAATAGCAACTCACCCCTGGTGGTTTGTAGATTACATTGTCTCCACTGTATCTTTCTGGTTTTGAAACATCTCTAATTGGAGGAAAAAATAATTTTTAAGGAAAAACACTAGCAATAACACACTTCATTGAAGCAGAATTAGCTAATATTTTGCAGTGTATGAATTATAAAGATGTAAAATATACCTGTCCATCATCTGTCCCATTTATACAACTATGCAGTACCAAAAAAAAAAAAAGCACAGATTTAAAAAGAAATTTGAATATGAAGCAGACTCCTTAAAGAAAATTTTTGTCTGGTAGCTTTGTTATCAGTAATTTAGAAATCTGAATTGGTGGTGTTGGCATGAAAGCCATTGTGACACTAGACCGTTTTCCAAATATAGATCAAGGATATTAATTTGATCATATAGAATAACTGAAAAGAATATAAATTCCTTGTGAGTCATACAACCATGAATTTTCTACTTTTAAAACTAATAGTTCTGCTGGGTGTGGTGGTACATGCCTTTAATACCAGCAGAGGCAGGCGGATCTCTGTGAGTTCAAGGCCAGCCTGATCTACATAGTGAGTTCCAGGACAGCTGGGGCTACAGGCAGACCCTGTATCAAAAAGACCAAAAAAAAAAAAAACCCTAATAGTTCTAAAGTAATATATTGAACTAACCTACATCATAAAAATAGTTCTACAATAAGGCACATGTCTGTGTACTTGTCCATTGTCATTTCCTGTGCCTCGTACAGTATCTGGCATACAAATATGTGGTCTTGTGTAACAAATATTTACCTGGCATAATAAATATTTAGTGAGAATTCTACAGAAAATTCTAAGTCAAATGAGTAACTTTCTCTTCCACTAAATAATTTGTAGATTAAGCAAACACTAATAGATATCTAGTTTCTGAGTAGAGTAGTCCAGGAGCAAAGGGTGCTGACCTAGACTGTGACAGGAGGAATATAAGGAACAAGCTCCCTCCCTCTGTCTTTCCATCCCTCTCTCCCTCCCTCCCTCCATCCATCCACAATTTACTATGTATTTCCTTGGGACCAGGTATAGTGTTGATACTGAATGTAGAGCAGCGAGCAAAAGTGACAAAATCTGCATTCTCGTGGCGCTTTCACTGTGGTGAGGAAAGGAAGACTAGACAGTAAGTGGCTAAAAAGGAATGGAACAGAGTAAAGGATGTGCAATGATCAGAAAAAGAAAGACAAGATGGATGGTGGTGAGGGCTTTCTCATGCGATAATCCTCGGTGGAAGTACTTCCAGACACAAGAGCAGCAAGGGCTTGGTGGCAGGACAAGCTTGTAGTGCCTGTGGTGGACTGTGCAATGGCTGCACAGCAGTGATGTGAGAAGCCCAAGGTGGGGAGAGTCCCCCACCTGCTATATACAATGATCTTCAAAAACACGGATAATGCTCACAGTGAAACATATGCACCAATAAAAGCTATACAAGCATCTTGAAAGCAAGAGCTCAGAGCAGAAGTCATCAATGGAGAAGACAACAGTTACTGCAACCACAGCACTGTCAAAAGTCAAGGGGTGGTTGAGAAAACCTTCAATGAAAACAGAGAGTCAAGGACAGAACCATAAATAATTACACCTAGAGAGGGAAAAGGGCAGAAAGGATAGAAAGAAAGCACAGGAGGCAAACCAAAGGGATTTAACACAATGTTGACACCATGGAAAAAAAGAGAGGAAGGACACGTGACATCCTTCGAAGAACTTGAAGAGGACTGAAGCTGAAAAAAAAGGGCCACTGGATTTCGAATTAAGGAGTCATTTTGTGACTATTCAGAAACAAGTTTCCTCAGAGGAATGGGGTGAAAGCCAACATCCAAAGAGCCAAGGTTTGATACTACTAAGAGTTTCAGAAAATCTGGGTAATCAACCATAAATCTAACCTTCAAAAGATGTGAAAAGGAAAAAGATGACAGTCTAGTTCAAGATTACAAAGGGTGAGTCATAAAGAGAAGAGCATGACTTGAGAAAAGGAAAGCAGTTTATGTTTATGTGAGGGGTCAGGGTGAACCCATGAAAAGCAGGGAGAAGGATGACCAAAGCCCCAGAGAGGCACCTGCAAGGACACGAGTGAAGAGAGTAGCCCTAGGCAGGAGAACTGTGCGCTGCGGCCACGGTTCAGGAGTAGAACACATGCTTCACACGTATGTGGCCTTGACTTTGATCCCAGCACACAGAGGGAGGAAGAGAGGGAAGATTGCTATTTTGAGACAAGAAAGATATAAAGAAAAGTGATGAGACATGGAGATGAAGGAAGACAAGGGAATGAATCTACGCTTCTTAACTAGAAAGACTATTCTCAACCAGACAGCCAATGATAGCTTAGCATTTTGCCAGGCCTAAGTGTCAATGAAAAAAACTGCATAAAAGTATGAAAGAACTGGGGCTGGAGAGTTGGCTCAGCAGTCAAGAGCACGGATTGCTCTTGCAGAGGACCCAGGTTCAATTCCCAGCACCCACATGGCGGCTATGAACCGTCCTTAACTCCAGTTCCAGGGGAATCCAAAGCCCTCTTCTGGCCTCCACGGCATAGCACAACATGGGTACACTCACATATTGCAGGCAATATACTCATACACATAAAATGAAAATAATAAATAAAATATTTTTTAAAGTATTAAAGAACTCATTGTTAACTGGGCCATTCTTTTGCCTTTACCCACATACTGAAACAGAATATACCATAGAAGAAAAAGAAATACTTTCAACCCTTTAAAAGATCAGGCATACACATAAAAACTGGCTGGTGACTTTAGAAGATCCAACCAATCTTCTCAACCAACTAGTCCAGCCTTGGAAGACAAAAGAAAAATGAGGAGGAACCCAATAGAGGGATGCTTTTGGAAGCCCTTGTCAAGAAACTCCAATGGACTCTCATATGAACATTTGAAAATTACCCTGTTCTGACTTTTTTCTAGTCCCCTGTCTAGAACTTGTAATGCTAATTACTCTTGTCTTCACTTCTCCTCTACTTCTCCTATTCATCAGTCAAAGACTTTCTTTTCCCCTTAGAGACAAGAATTATGCAATTTGGGAGTCTTTTAGATAGACCCACTGAAGGGGTACTCCAATTGCCTCACCCTGCGTCCCTGTTCAGCACGGAAGAAGCCAGAGCGGTCGGCATCCCTATTCCCTATTGGCAATTTGGCTAACACTTCAGAGGATGGCGTGGTAAGAATAGGAGGTAGGAATTGGCCAGGCAGTTAGGGTAGAAAGACCCCAAATGTAGTCAATTTCTTGGCTAAAAGTCAAAATGCCCTTAGGCCTGTTAGCAACATACTCTGTTCCAAAGGTCAAAAATGCCAAAAATTATTGGGAGCTTCTATCTAATCCTTAAAAGATTTTAGGATTACCTCTTCAGAGGGGGGAATGTTGGAGGGGAGGGAGTGGGCATGGATTTGATCAAAATACCTTATATGCATGTATGAAATTCTCAATAAAGTTTTTGTAAAAGTTAAAAAAAAAAAGAAAATGCATTGTATGAAATTCTCAAACAATAACATTGAAAAATTAAAAAAAAAAAAAAAAAAAAAGGACTCAGATCATCTTTGGAGAAGTCATCTTTGGAACATGACCAAATACAACAAGTACTGAGCATGGTGGCCAAGCTCATCCACTAGCATGCTGTCAAGTAATATACTTACCCAAAAGCAGAAAGGAAGGCACAGTCGTCATGCAAGATACTTGCTACCCTTTCAAAAACTCTGTAATTATCTGAATCCTTTTGCTCAAAGTATCCAATGATATTTCTTTTACTGCGCTGTAAAAGAAAGTATCTGATTATTTTGCAAACATATAATTCTAAGATCATGCTACTTCCTTTATCCTTTATTCTCAGACTCAAGTAGCTCTAGTTGCCCAATTATTCCCAACTAAAGAATATTATGAATGCCTATTTACTTTTAAGTGCCTAGTCTAAAATACATTGGGTTGGAAACTGTATTTACTACAATAAAATGTAACTGTAATCATTTTCTTTCAGCATTTTACCATGAAATTTCAAGAAATACAGCTCTTTAATCAGTGACCACCTTTTCCTAAATATGGCGACTAATTCTAAAATGTAGTAACAGAACATCAATTCAGAGACTCCTCTATAGTCCCTCACATATTCAACACTGCACATGCATGCTGAGGTACGAGCCCCTGACCAGTCTCTATACAGACCATTTCTCAGGGCTGGGCTTGCAGCCAGAACATTAAGGTATGACGAGATGCTTTGTTCAAGACAAAAAACAAAGTTAACTGCTGGCTATGAAATGCTAAGTTCTCCAAGTCTCACAATCCCTTCCTGTATCACAACCCACCGCCTGGATGACTATCCACTCCATCCTTTGTGTTACTCAAGAGGATTTGGGTGGTGCATGATGACAACTGTGAACGTGCTCACAGGGCTTACTGTGATGCGAGCAGTGAAGCCCTCTGTCTCTGACTCAGGAGTCTTGTGTCTCCGACAGCATCCATGAAATGGTAACCGGCTACTTATTAACTTGTCACAGAACAGTAACAATCAGTGACTGGAATAAAGCCCAAACACAATAGTTTTTGCTTTTGCTGTTCTACATTATTTTTAAAACACTACTTACTATACAAAGAGAGGGGTCTGCCAAGTTTATTAAGAGGAGCTATTTTAAAGGACACCAACATGTACATGTAGATCTGAAAGATTAAAGCAGACATTCTGTAGGTGCCAGGCAAGGAAAATAGGGAAATTTGGTGTGTAGAGTTCTGTTTGTAATTCAGACTTCCCTTTGCCCTGCATTAATTCAATTATGCAATTTTACTGTATGCTACATATTTTGTCCAGAAGTTCAGTAAAACATTCACATTTCCCTTGAGAATGAATCCCAGAAAACTTTAAGTATATGTATGTTAAATCTACGGCAACAAACCGTAAATAACATGCACATTCTTTACCCACATTAAGTTTGTTTGCATTAATTAAAGAGACAATGCTCACATGATCTACCTCAAGTTAACTTACATCAAGAGTAGTGATTTCTTCTAAGCTCTGAATCTCCTGGACAGGGTTACTCTTCTGTTGCCTGATGTAGTCTGCAAGTGCTTTCACTGATCGCTGGCCCCTGTACTCTCTCTTCATCATCATTCCATTACGAAACAATTTGAGGGTTGGATATTTGCTTATCCTGTACCTCTGGGCTATATCAGCTAAAAGAATTTACAAAAGGAAATCAGCTTTATCTCATACTAAGGGTGAACTTACTAGCCCAACAGTCAAAAATATTAATGAAATTTTTTCAGTTCATGACATTCTTTCTCAGTGAGAGGGAAAAGAAAAACAAAAATCAGTCATGACTTGAGTTTATATTGGTTGTCAGACCAGGCTCAGGACTTACACTGCCTGGGTTTAAATTCCAAATTTATCATGTATTCCCTGTGTGCACTCGTAAATTGCAAAAAATGTTTATGCCCTAGTTTTTCATGTTACAATAAGGATAACTTCTATTACATAAGGTTGTTTTATGGATCAAATTGAGACCATGCAGATGTACAACACACACACACACGCACACACACACACACACACACACACACACACACACACACACACACACACACACGACCAGCAACAATAATTATGCCTTGTAAGGTAGGACACACATTAAAATACGGACAATGGCAACTGCAGCATATAAACTAGGAGGAGGGAGGTAAGCAGGAGGTAAGTGACATCCAATATTCTAAGGCCTTTACACTGCTCAGGAAGAGGCAGAAGTACTTACACTATTTTGGTAAGTCAGGGTTGCATTTTGTTTCTCTCTAGGATAAGCATTCAGAGAATACTAAAGGAATATTAGAGGTTAAGGATGGAACATGGCTTCTCAGAAGAGGGCATAGTTAAAAGCCTGCATGTAATTTAGTGACACAATACTCTGGTAAAATTCATGGAAGATTCTTAAGGAGGAAACTATAATTGATTACTAAAATACTTTAAATGTGAACCATCAACTCAGTGTACACATATTTAACAAAGACAATGACCTATCTGGTTTAGGAGTTGGTTACTTCTTTAAAGCAGAACTAGTAGAGCTATCAGCTAGAAGCCCTTTTTGAATCGAACAAATTCTATTAGAGGTTCTGTCTTTGAGGTGTTAGAAGATGATGAGCTCTCCTGAGCAAGGAATTAATGGGATGAAGTTGGTACTACAAACTGAAGGGTAAGAAGAGCTCCACAACACACAAAGTTTTTAAAGATATAAAGGTACTTGTAATAAAGCAAAGGCCACAAGACTCAGGTTTATTCTCAAGAAAAACTACCTGAAGAAATAAGAAGTGCTTTACCTTCCGATCTGAAATACATTCATTCCCCAGCACATTATACATCAAAGCAACATATTACAAAATGAATTTTTGCAGTGATATATAAATATGATAAAGTTTTAAGTTAAGATGCTGTTAAGCTACATTAAATAGCTCTACTGCACCAGTGATAATGGTTGTTAGCCACCATGTGGCTGCTGGGAATCGAACCCGGGTCCTCTGTAAGAAAAGCCAGTGCTCTTAACTGCTGAGCCATTTCTCCAGTCCCTACTTGTTAATTCTTAAGAATAAATAAAATTGAAGTGATTCAGCAAATACTGTATATTTCATTTGAATTGGAAGTAACAACTATTTTTTAATATTTTAATTTCTTTGCAGGGCTATAAATAGAACCCAAGGTTCTGCATATGCTAGGTGAGTATTCTAGCACTAAACAACAGCCCCAGCTTAGCTTGAACTTCCAATGTGTTTTTCTCTCTTAGTAGTGTACTCTGGGGATCTTTATCCTGATGGCTTTATCAGTGATTTAATGGCAATAAATATAAAGACAAATGAAATAGAGACATTTCCATGGAAACACAACGAAAACTAATACCACAAGAGATTGAAAATATAAATGGTCCCAAAATTATTAAAGAAGTTGAACTTGAAATTCATCCCCTCTGTAAAACTCCATTCCTAGTTGCTTTCACTTAGCAATCCTAGAAAACATTTAAGAAGCCAAAAATGTTCTTTAGCAAATTATTGCAACAAATACAAAAAGAGGAAACACTTCTCAACTAGTTTTTAAAAATATTTATTATTTTTAGGTGTATGCACTTGTTGTCTGCATGTATGTAAATGTACCCATGTCCAGCAATGCCCACCAAGATCAGAAGAGGGAGTCAGATTCCCTGAAACTAGAGTTATAGACCATTGTTAGCAGTCATGTGGGTGCTGGGAATCAAACCCAAGTCCTCTAAAAGAGCAGCCAGTGCTCTTAACCACTGAACCATCTCTCTAATCCCTCTCAACTAGTTTTATGAAGTTTCCATAGTATGTTTGAGAAAACTGACAAGGACATTATAAGAAAACTATACATTAATCTTAAGAACAGATGCAAAAATATAAAAAAATTAACAAGCTTAATTTAGTACTACATACCATGGATAATACATCTCAATCAAGCTAGATTTAGTCTAACACTTTCGTTAAAATTATTATTAAATCAGGTCAAGTAACTCACAATGCTAATGAAAGAAAAATTTATATTACCTCAAAAGGAGCAGAAAAACGTTTGATAAAATTCAACATCCATTCATGGGTACATACTATCAGCAAACCAGAAACAGAAGAAAACTGCTTCCTTAATCTGATAAAGGATAATTAAATAAATACCAAACAACTTGATGATGAAACACCAACTGCTTTCCTGCTGATATAAAGAAATAAAGATGTCTGCCACCATTTCCATTTAACACTGTAGTAGAGCTTTCAGTATAAGTTAAAGGGGGACAAATTTACACTGAAAAAAAGTAAGCACACCAATCTGTAACAGGAGTTCTACCGCCAAGCAAGAGTTAGTAAGTAATCTAACGAAATCTACTGCCTTTGCTACAATAACTAGTGAAAACTGAACTTCTAAAAAAATTACATATCTAAAGATACCAGAAACCACAAAAACTATGATGAGCAAAAGAACTGAAATCTCCCCAAAAAGGAAAGGCCATTTCTAGGTGAGCAAAGACCGGGCAGTTTTTCCTATAGCTTTCCTTTTAGAACTTCAACCTCTAGTTTCAGATTCGGGTTGAGTAAGAACTTTTAAAAACAAAAGAAAGCAACCAGTGGTGCTTTTCATAGACGTGAGACATGTGAAAGAGGGCCCTGAGACACAAAGTCATGCTCCCCAAGGACATTTACAGAGTGCCAGGGTAAGACAGAGACTGGGGTGGAGGGGGCTATTGAGGAGAAAGCAGGTAGTAGGAGAGAGGAAATGTTCTCCAGCCTCACAATGCTTAGGAGACAATGTCTACTTGTGGAAAGAGCCTGCAACCAGTATCAGTGTCACGCACTGCCAAGAAATTTGACAGATTTTAAAGTTACATATGCCAGAAAACACCTCGATATGGAAGACTATGATTTCTTGCTTGTTTTGAGACAGGGTCTTACTCTGTAGCCCAAGCTGTTCTCAAACTTGCTATGCAGTCTAGGATGGCCTCAAACTCACATGGTTTTCCTGTTCCAAGTATCACATGCACAGTAAGACCATGAATTTTAATGACTAGAAGCAAGGTACTTGTGACATATACTAGAGCTAAATAATTAGATCGATAAAATAAGAGTGAATATTAAAAAAACACCAAAAATTAAGTGAACTAAAGACAGTGTTAATTTATGAAACATGGATGGTCAGTAAATATTAAACCAGTGCTCAATTGTAATAAGAAAGTTAGAAGTTAACCAATGATATTTTGTCCATCAGTTTGAGTAAAAAAAATTAAACAAAATTCAAAATATCAAGCCCCACAAAGGTAGAATAGTCCTACTATATCCAACTTAACTACACATTCAATGTTAATAAGGCTAAACTGAATGTCTGCATTGCCTGTAAGAGGCCAAAGTATTTTTCTATTTTATTCCCCAAAGTATTTGGCATAAGATTTTGTGATGGACCCAGAGAGAAATGACTAATAGGAAGAATTTATTTTCCACTTGTAGCCTAAGTATCAGTTTGAAAATGGACAGCAAGAGACACTGTCAGAGGCAACATAATGCTTTCAACTTTCTGCAACTGGTGAACTAGTGAATTTGATGAGAACTTAGTATACTAAAAATGAATACCCATATACCGGAAGTACAGGAAGGCTAGAGATGGACTCCCAAGGGACTTAAGTGCTGCGTTAACAGAGCCTGAATTTTCTCCTTTTGTGATCAACAGCCAGAGAGCTACAAAGTTACCTAGCAGTGACAGAACTGGAGAGACTAGCAAGGAACTCCAGTGGATTCGTGGCACAGGCAACGAGAGCCTGTTTCCACTTAGATAGTACAGCCTTTAGGTTGCCTTAAAAATCTGGTTATAGAGAAAAAAACATTAACGAATATTTGAAGACTATTAGGAAATTAGATAGTCAATGGATTTATTCTCAAACAACAAAATGGCAGCAGGTATGCTGCACAATGAGGTAACTTTTAATTATTAAGAAGTAAAACACTTCAAATTACATTGACCAATAATTCCAGACATAAAGGTGGCTTTTTACAGGTTTTGGCCAAAAGTGATTTTAAGATAATTACAGCATGACACTTTGACAATATAACAAAGAATGACTTAAGGGATATAATGAATTTTTTTTTTCTAAGTTAAACAGATAGATCAAATGTTAAAACGGATGTCAGAGGAATTAGAAATTTCAGAAGGCTAACAGCTTTCTGTTGGAAAATTAGCATGTACTTTTGCTTCAATGGTCACTTACTTTTCCTTGATGAATTCTTCCTACCTTCCTCACTAACATGCAGTAGGGTTCCAACTGGGGAAACCGTGCCACACTCTTGTCTATCAATGGTCTGCTATTATTCAGAGTCAGTCCAAAGAGGCAGATGATTTCAACAAGAAGCTCTTACTGCCCTGGTTCCAGGAGAAGGAGTCTCTCCCTTCCTATTCTCAAACCATGCTCCCCTAAAACAAACACCTTCCACAAGACACAACCACAAAAATAAAACCCTAAATAGAAGTGGAAAGTGATCCTTAAAGCTTACTCAAGCTTGGGCATACCCTGAATTAAGTAGGTTTTACTCAGTCAGCAAAATATAAACAAAAATGTTAATTGTGGTTTTACTATAATGGCTAGTAATGATGGCTGGATTATAAGTGATTCTGTTTTTTTAATAGTTACTTATTTTCCAACTAC